ATTTTTAATTAATTGGTTCAAACTTTATTTTGTGGCTGAAAATATAATCATTCCTCTATAATTAAATGTAACTTTGTCACTCTACAACAGACATCAGGATCTAAATTTTAGGTGAAGGAGTTTGGAAGGGGAGCTGTTTAAAAAACAAAGCATTAATTCGAGTTTTTTTTTTTAAAAAAAAAAAACAATTATACTATGTTCGGGAAGGAATGCGTTGATTCGTTACTTTCAAACGTAATATTAAAATTTTGATAATAATGCCTTTTAATGTTTTTACGAAAATAAAAGAGGTAAATTATACTGTTGTTTTATGAGGTTTTGGCAAATTACATACAAATAGAATGTTTGACCTTTATTGCTTTAACCTTCCATTAAATTTGGCATGTCGTCAACGACACCCTTTGACATTAATAAAATTTCAAAAAATGACTAAGTTGTCCTTCCCTTGTGCTAAACGACACCTCTTCCTTATATTTTGACATGAAATGACAAAAATACAATAAAATGTCATTAAAATGCAAAGTATCAATTTTCATACCAACTTCATATTGTATTTTATAAAAATATTGATTTTTTTTTGGTTAATTATATTTGATTAGTTTTTTTTTTTCAAATAAAAAATATAGGGTAATTTAGTGCTTACAAGAAAGGAAGAAAAGGGTAATAGAGTTTTTGTTTGACAGATTTTTTTTATGCAATTATTATCAAATTATATAAGGGTATGAAAAACATTTTACATTTTTTTGGAAGTCAAAGTAATAAAGATCAAACGCTCTATTTGTGTATAATTTATCCAAACCTGAGAGGTCAGTGTAATTTATCCAAATAAAAAATAAAAAACAGAAACCACTATATTGGTATTTTCCAAAAAAAAAAAATTTTAATTATTTGTTTTCTTTTTCTAGTAACTCATAAAAGCAAATTTTGTTTCGTCACAATCTTACATATAAAAAATAAAAAATGAAAAAAATTGACAGTCAATGATACATTATGAGATAATTATGAGTCATTAGATATAGTGTGAACACAATTGTCGCCTCAAAAAACTCAACATCCACTTTGAAATGGGCTAATAACGTCCATTGGTGATGGTGTGAATCCAACCTAGAGACTTATCGCAAAATCACTTTTTTTAACAAAAAGTCCTCATAAGGACACTTTCACATGAGTTTGAGTTGATAAAAAAAACCCATAAAAGGACACACTCTTGGATCCAACACATGAAGAAGGCTATGAAAATTAGCACCACTCTCCCTTTTTAACCCAAATTATCCAAAAGATTTCAAGTAGCACAAAGACTATGACAACTTATTTTCGCAGGTGGCCACTGGCAAGTTGACATATAAATCACATGCACACTTACACTCTCTGACATTTTCTTACATTTACAATGATATATATATAAAATAAAAATAAAAAAATGACAGATTAAAATTCAAATAAGAATTATAATATAGATATAACAAGGTATATATTTATTGATGGACATTACTTGGAATATGAACTCTCATTTTCAAAAATAGGAAAAAGAAAGTTAAATTTTTGAGTCCGGTCTAAAAGCAGTATTACGAATTTGTATATGTTTAGTTAAACTTTTAAGATTTATTAAATATATTTTAATGTGTATTATTATTATTATTAGTTCAGTATTATACCTATTGATGCAAAATTCTGCTATGACCTGAAACCTGCAAGGGAAGGGAAGAAATAATTGGAGAGGCACCAGTGTTGTATTAGCTTAAGGGTCTCGGACGATCAAATTAGAGCCAAAACTGAAAAGAAAGTAAAAGAAGAGATTTTTCTAGGAGTTCCAATTTCTAACCGGTGTCATTTAAATTTCTTGTAGCTTTAGAAGTGCAGTAACAATACCACTCTCATTTTTCTTCTTCTTTTTTCATTTTGTTATATATACTGTTAAAATTTCACTATTACCCCCACTAAATTTACTAAAAGATTACTTATTATCCTCTCTCAAACAATTTTCTAAGCCTATTCCCGCATAACGTATCAAATTGAATTTACGTGAGTGAAAAAAAACAAAACATTATCATACATATATATATTTATGTACAATCGAATACATCCTTTATTATATGTATGTATGTATGTATTGCCAACAAACAGTGGAAGTTGACAATGAAAACAATTCATACAACAACAACTATTTTAGGAGTTTGGAAAACCCTAATGGTTAATTGAGAATGGCCCCATTGATAGATAGTGAGAATATTTGGGGGGTGAGAAGTTGGGGAAGTTGGTGGCGTTGGACTCTCTGACCAAAATGGTGTAATGTCACGAGTTTTGATAAACAAACAAAAAAACTGCTAAACGACACTCCATAAGTCCATATCAATGGTGCTACCTGTCAGACGGTGTCGTTTGTCCACATCTCGCTTTTAATTCACCACTATTCCACATAAAACAAAGCAGGAACAGAGAAGGAAAAGCCTCCACTGTCCTGTTTATTTATATTTCTTTATTATAATTAAATCTTTTAATTTAATGAAAATTATTGTTTATTCTAGAAAAAAAAAAAAAAAAATCATTATTATTATTATTATTTTTTTTCTATCTAAAGTTTCGCGGCAATCCGGACCGCCCCACTTTGAGTTCTGAAAGGAGATTGCCTTAAAATGATAGGAGAAATAAAGAGGAATATATTATTATTTCATTGAGTTATTTTACTTTTGATATTTTTTTTTATAGGATAATTACAATAAACCCTTTTTAACTATGAATCAAGTGCAACTAATCTTCTAGAACTACAAATAACCCCTTCAACTATGAATTTTGTGCAGTCAAAGAACAGGTAAGGTTTTCCGGTCCACTTCTATCGCCGGAAAGTTGAAAAAGACCTTTTGCCACTTTAAATAAACCATTGTCTTGTAACCTTAAGTTATTATTATAAAATTGACTAAATACATGGACCAGTGTAATCACAAGCACCAATTAAAATTGGACACCTCAGAAACTTCACAACTATCAAAGCTCATCAACTTAATCCCTTTTTTTTTTTTTTTGGGCCGACACCACAATCTCTATCTCTCCACCATCTATTTCTGGTGGTGACAACGGCTGAAGGCTCAACTAACAACAATAAAGGCTTGATAATCGGGATGGCTATCTGGTAATCGGGATGGCTATCTGGTAATTGGGGTGGCCATCACAATATGTGATGGTGTTTAGATGACGAGACCCACGACCACGGAAAATTCTGGACACTTTCTTTCGTCTTTTCAATCTTGATTTTGCTGGAGAACTCAGCTAAATCCGTGGTTCTTTCAATATAATTTGATCTTGAACCATGGTGTTTTTGAACTAAAAGTTATTTACCAATTGATGGGGTTTCGCGATTTGGTCTGTTTGCGATGATTCTGTGAATCAAATCTTTCGATTGGGTTTGGCGAGAGGTTGAGAATTTTGCAATTGGGTTTGCTTGTGATTGGATTTCGTCAATCAGTTCTAGTGATTCAAGGGGTTCATATGGAAGATGTAACGTTGCCATGAATATGGATAATGTGTACAGAGCTATAATTTTTATTGATAGTATTTATCTGCATAATGAAGAAGATGGACATACATGTTAGCCATATGAATGTATATATAGAGACAAAAGGGTAATTGTCATTTAATATAAGGGTACTATGGTCTTTTATTTTCATAAAGGTTGTATGATCATTTAATTAAATTTGGGTAGTCACGTGAGGGACACAAGTGTGTAAAATTCGTATGCCAGTTACCTGATGAGGTAAATTGCAACAAAAGTCATAAATTCAGGAAATTTTTTGCCAATTTAGTAATCGAGGGGGGTTTCCGGCTCAAATGGACATAATTGAAGTAGGTTTTATGCATTTTACCCTATTTTATATAAAATTATTTTTCTCATACTCAAATTTAATTATCCTAATTAATAAGCTTTTTATCGTCTCATTACACACGTATCTACTCATTTAATTCTCCTAATTATTTTTCTCATACTCAAATTTAATTATAAGTAAAAAAAAAAAAATTACATAAAACTTATCAATTTTCGCAATTAATATATTTTTCATGATCTCCCGTTATGTTATTTGAATCATCCAAAAGAATTTTTGTCTCACCATTAAATTTTCATTTTTTTATTCTTAAGCAAATTTATTTGTTTGTATGCAAGTACTTTCTTTTCTTTCCCCGGAAATTTATATGTATGGTAATTGGTAAGTACTTGTGATAAGACAAAAATAAATTGATAATATGAAATAAGCCAGAGCAATCCTTTACAAGTGCTTCTTAAATGCATTTTGGGACTTTGACAACTTAGAAACACTTTTTACTATACAAGCCTATATTGGCCAATGAAAATTCATTTTAACAACTCCATTTAACACAATAATACCGAGAATTTTGTGCATGTTATGTAAGTAAGGATGACGCCTTCACATTTTTCGTATTTAACATCATCCGAATTCAGATATATCTAGTTGTTACTTACAGCATACCTTCTTTTTTTTTTTCAAGCTTTACTCGTACATATAGTTTGCATGCAATTCTGACTTGAGGGTCACGTGTTCGAAACAAAAACAAAATAAACAATCAAACCTCGTGCACTGAATCGACTCGATGCAGCACTGAATCGAGTCGATGCAGCCGAACCTCATACACTGAACAAACTCTTCATTGTAACAACTTACAAGGCATCCAGAGTCCATTGGTTATCACTTAATCAAGAGATGTGGAATCAGAAAAGAGGGCCGTAGCACTTCACAATCATGAAAACTAATCAACAACATTTTTACATCTGTGGAACCGATGGAGAGGCAAAAGGAAAAATGCGAGCTTATTCAAAAATACTGCACACACACTGTGTAGAGCCAAAATTTGCGAGCAACTCATAGATGGCATGCAATGCAAACACAAAAGCCAAGGCAAAAATAATCCTGCATATGCACAAAAAAATAATTGTGGTTTACGAAATTTTTGTGTGGAATGCAAACTTCAGTATAATACTAAATGTTGCAGCATTTTACGCTAAAAATCACACTATATATCAAAGCATTTATTCAAAGAAGCACAAAAGGAGCCGTTTTCAACAAATTCATACACAGAATTGGCCATTGTGCCCCCAAACTATACCTGCACCGCCAAAATGTAAAAGTCTGACCATACCAGAAAATGGTACCATCTTCTATAAATCAAGAGGGGAGAAAAAAAACGACGGCGAGGAAGGGATGAAAAAATTTCAGTACAACTTTTATTCTTCAAATTTCTCCCTAAACTACTTTTTGTTGATCCGCATACAGGTTAGAATCTTTCCCCGGGGGCTTTTTTCTTTAAGGAAGCACAGCTCTGACTTCTTTCCTATCTGCTCCAAACGACTGCAACAGAAAACCAGAAGAAAACATTTAATATAATAGGCCATAAAGAACAAACCATTTCTTCGTATAAGCAACTAGAAAATTTATATTGAAGAAGCCAAGGACCAATCTGAACACCAATACCACTTCGATCTATATCATCAATATAGATTGACCATTCTTGACTGGTAATGGGGGGAACCGCCGATTTTTACCCAAAACTTTATTTTTGGGTCCGTATTAATAGATATTAATGGTGAGCTTGAAAAAGAAAATTACATGTGACCGCTCCAAAGTAAACTTTTTACTCTTGCTTTAGAAAATCTAATTGAGGTTACAATAAACAAGGTTCTTTATTGCAAAAGTCCTTGCAACAATATTATCAATGCTCTAGTCAGATATGGAAAAGAAAAATGGATGCTCAACACCTGATAGTGTTTTATTTATTTGTCGTCAGCGTGTTATTCTCCAGTTTTTTTCCTTTATCGTATCAGTCTACCCATCTCTATTTAATTAAGTTTGTATTCCTATTCTTTTTAGGTCGTGCCATTATATGTCTCTCGTGTCTTAGGTTATAGTAAAATTGGGAAACAATTATAACAAGGGAACCAACGAGCCAGTGGCCTAGCGGTATCACCTCTTACTTCCCCAAGGGAAGTCAGAGGTTCAAGTCTCAGAACAAACAAGTGTGTGTGAATACCAACTAGGAAAAAAATAAAAATTACAACGAGGGAGCTCTCACTAAGATTGCCCCCTTTTAACCATTGGGTTGCAAGGCTGTGAGGTCAATCTTTAGATCTAACAACTACAAGAATAAAGCTCAACAAATATTATGGTGGAATGTTAGTAATAACAACAATGCCCTCTAACGCAAATATACACTTGAGTTTCCTCATTTTAGACATGCTCTTACGAATATATATAAAGACTTATATTGTAAGGAAAAATTCATTACAATTATTTCATAAATTATATAATTTTTAATTCAATAATAACTAGTTTGGCCTCCCGCAAATGAATATTATGGCGGATTGTTGGTAATAACAACAATGCCCTCTACCGCAATAAAGAGAAATACATGAAAAAATCTTTGCTTTGGCCAAACATTAAATTTATCTTTTAGGAGGCACAGATATGCACACGGGCCAATGGTATGACATGAGATATGGAAATGACAATAAGACAATTCTTAAGGGGAAAAAAAATAAAATATAAAATATATTGTTATATACAACAACAAAATAATAATTCTTACTCATTTTATCCACTTTCTTGTGAATAAAATCACCAGTTTGTTTTTTTAAAATTTTATATTATATTTTAAATAATGCATAATATATTTTAAAATTATACTGAAATCCCATTCTACTAAAAAACTACTTGCAAAGCTACCCTGCCACCTCCTGAAAGTGTCCCAAATGCATGCCATGTCTCATTTGCAAGACACTTCAAGTCATGTCCCAAGCGTGTCCGACACTGCTATGGCATCCGTTTGAGAAGGGTTTGTGCTTCCTAGTTTATCTTATTTTTCCCTTCCTAACACCGCTTGTATATAAGAAATACACTAGGTGATGTACTATATATCCTGGTTAAGAAAAGTTGCAATCTAAAGGAAATATAATCAAAAGTACAAACTTTTTAATTTTTAATTTTCAATTCTGAAAGTGAGAGATTATCAAGTTCTCCTCACTCCCTGAGTATCACTTGAACTGAAGCCACATATGTCAGCGAATTGGGAGGTGGATGCTCTTTGACCAAAAAATGTGCCTCATTTTTGGGGACCTTTCTAACCTTTGCAGGTTTATCTTCTGTTTCCCCTGCTTTTAAGGGTTTCAAAATGGAGTCTAATCTAATCTAACACATACAACCTGGTTCCACATTTCAACAGGTTAGGATTTCTTGTTTCATAAACACAGAAATGCTTCATTCTTTGCTTATTTTATTTCCATCAGGACTACTCATCCTTGAGTTGCTGAGAAGTTTCGCAGGATAGTTTATAGTTTAACATGTACTATCATAATCTGGGATGGACTTTGGTTTCTAGATTCAACAATTATGGAGAATTTTATGAACTTATTTTAATTTAACAACACTGCTACTTTGACAGAAAGCGGGTTGAGCCAGAATTTTCATGAGTTTTAGTTCAATGGGGGGTCATACAACTCCTGAACAAAATATTATTTTTTTAACTTTATGATAACAAAAAAATATAAACATCTATTTTCTAGAGTTGAAGACAAGAAAATTTTCAAATAGAAAGTAAACAAACAGCAAAATTGATGATGCTTTCCAAAGAATCATTTCCAATATATGAATGGATTTCCTCTCGCAACCATCACACTCTTAAGGTCAATGGGTTGGTAAAAGGCAAGTGCATGAATTCAAATTGTAGGCTTTCAATAAAAATGAGATTTTTATCTTGGGGAAAAAGGAGGGAGGGAAGGAGGGTGAGAGAGGTTCAAATTTGTTCTTGACCTTTGTCAAAGATTTTAGAGGAATCATGTATAGAAAAAACAATAATTTTTCTATATGTTGACCTAGTCCCCTTACAAATTTCCAGTGTCAACTGACACTACTGGAGTCTGTGGATTGAGTATACGGAGTAAGAGATGAGCACTAGGAGGCATTCTACAGGAGACATGGTTTCCCTGCCCCCCACCCCATCATTCACATGTCCCACTCCAGGGAAGGGGGAGTGATTGTAGAAAGGACACACAAATACTCTCCACCCCAAATAATAGACTCACCCCATCCCTGTCTTAATTATCGTTAGAAAAATGTTTTTTTTTTTTTTTTTTTTTTTTTTTTTTTTTTTTTTTTTTTTTTTTTTTTTTTTCATTTTCCGACATTTTATTAAGAAAATTAAAGTAATACAAGTATCAAGTAATGTACATTCAGGTAAGATACATGTTGCGGAAACATATCAATTTACACATGAAAAAGATCATTGTGGATTTTGCATTGTTAGATTATAGATGTCATTAGCAATACCAATAATAGCATTTTGAAGTGCAATCTAGATGATTAGCCAATTCACAGGGGAAAAAAAATCTACCTCAACTCCATAGCCTTTCGCATATACATTGGTAAAGAGTTCAGAAGGATCTGGCATCGGGCTTTCCTGTAATAGGGGGGAAAAATATGTCCATGACCAGTAACAGAAATAAAAATAAAAAGCAAGCTTTTCAAAGTGTCGCAGTCTAGGAAGCACGGACACTCCAAAATGGGCGAAGAATCCGTGTCCGACACGTGTCGGACACAGACACGCGTCGGACATGCCCCGACAAGTGTCGGACACGCCAAAAAACGTGTCTGGAATTTTTTTATTTTTTTTAATTTTCGGACACAGCTCGGACACGGCTCGGACACGGCTTGGACACGGCACAGACACGGCTCAGACAGATCGGACACGGCTCGGACAGCTCGGACACGGCTCAGACACACTTTTCTGGATTTTTTTTTTTTTTTTTTTAAATTTTTAATGCTGATATGTTCTATTTTTTGTTTTGAACTACCCTAAAGATGCTGATATATATATATACTAACCTAAAGATGCCACAATTCGCCGTGTCCGTGTCCTAAAGATGCTGATATATATATATATATACTAACATATCAGTGATATATATATATATTCCAACCTAAACATATCAGTGTTTTTTTTTTAAAATTATTAATGCTGATATATATATATATATATACTATTCGCCGTGTCCATGTCCTAATTTTTTTGGATTTGCCGTGTCGCCGTGTCCGTGTCGTGTCGTATCCGTGTCCCGTATCCGTGTCCGTGCTTCTTAGGTCGCAGTAGATCCACTAAACAATTAAGATAAAGAATATGGCGTGCTTCTCACCTTGGCTTGAGCAATGGCTTCATCTACCTGTTTCCTCAAGTCTTTCTCAATATCCTGAAAAAAAAAATTCAATAAAAGAAAAAATTCAAGGCCAGACCCTCGTTATGCAGTAGTTCTTCACAGGTATGATTGGCATCACACCCTCAAAATCAAAGAGAAGAATAAATATCCAAATAATTAAAGCTAATAATAAATTCTCCTTAAGGAACTCAACCCAACCAATTTTTATTCTATTTTATTTTATTTTTTGAAAGTAACCCAACTAAATTTCAAAGTATAGAATTTTACATTCTGTAACTTAGTTCAAGGATCCAAAGTCATTAGATACCTTGAGCTCTTTTTCAGTGGCTAGATCATGAGATAATATCAGCTTTCTTATTCTTTCAATTGGATCTCGCTCCTGGAAGTATTAAAATCCATCCAGAATAGGAGTTAATAAAAATAATCATCATCATCATCATATGAGACATGTAAAGACATAAGATTAACACAAAATTCCCTTTAGTCTATAATAGATTGTTATTGAGAATATATCAACCTGTCTAATACCACTTATTTCATCACGTGTGCGGTAGGTGCTCCCAGGATCAGACATAGAGTGACCATGGTACCTGTAAGTGTCCATTTCAAGAATCTGAACACCAACATCATAAGCAAAGACAAATATTAGTTGTTTCAATACAAACGACAGAAAAACAAAGTACTAAAAATTCACAATAAATTACTCCAAGCACCTGTGAGATACGACATATGCAAAAACTATTACGCATTGCTGTATGAAATGTATGCAACATGGAATATACAAGTACAAAAGCTTCATATTATGCAACTTCCAGAACTTGGTTTCACCTGTTTGTAATGCATTAAAATATAAAAGCTATTTGTGGATCCATTTAACATACAAATCTACAAGGATTAAGGTCCACATTTTATTAGAACCACAAAGCACATTTCATATCCTTGGTTTAGAATGCCCATGTCCCAATTAAACATCTGTCTTTACTATATCCGAGCACATCCCTACAATGAGTATAAACAAAAATTCAGGTGGATTTGGACACCCCCTCAATTCTGACTGGTTTTAACTTAACCACTTAAAAGCATGACAAAATTTCTCCCTGACGGTCAGGATTCAAATTTTTGTTGAGCACCATCACAAAAAAACTAAATTTACAATTTTATCATCAATGTTTTTAAGGTCCTTTTCATAAATGAGATTGTTCGAATTTTAAAAGAATATTCTTGTTCGTTTTGCTGAAAAATGCCCTCCTTTCCCAAAATGGATATGGTTGCCACCTTGTCGGGTAGGGGGAGGAAGCTGCTAATAGTGGATTCCCATGTGACCTCAAAAAAATCATCATTATCTACTATCAAATGACAAAAAAAAAAAAAAAAAAAAAAAAAAAAAAAAAAAAAAAGACAATCTCATTTTTTTACGCCACCGAATTCCAGAGGAAGTCAACCCTAAACTCTCATTACGCCAGCCTTCCAATCTTCACACGCTACTCACCAAGCATGACCCGAAGCCTCTCTAAACCTTCAAAATGGACACCAAAAAATAGAAGGGGGAGTGTGCACAGATCCAATTTTCATGGGAATGTATTATCTATTTCTAAATATCCTATATTCACTGTGTTTTTGGCTTTTTAATTGATCAACCAATGCAATTCAACAAACCTCAACTCAGCAAAGCCTTGCTGCAACTATTTGAGCCTATTTCATCATTATGCTCTAGGGTCATAATGTCATAAATAAATAAACTTTTATTGATCATGATTAAGCATTACAATCACATTGAATCACATCTTGAACACGTTGAGGTACATCGTCCGTAATCTCGCCATTGAATTTCTGCTCAACTGCAGCCTTAAAAAGAGCATGAGCAACACCATTTGCCAAGTAAGAGATATACTGAACTTCAAAGCCTCCATTGTATTGCATCAAATCTCGACAACCATTAGTAATTACCAAGAGGTAAGAATTATCAAAACTTTTGACTGCATTAACCACCACTCAAGAATCACTCTCTAAAATAAAGTTGGTAAAACCCAATTTTGCTGCCAACAGGATAGCTTGATGAAGAACCAATACTTTAGCGGTGGAGGCATATATGGTTTTGTCAGAGTAACTCACAGCAGTCCTCAACATTTCTCCCGCATGGTTTCAAGCTACAATTCCAGTAGCAGCCAACTTGTATTTTTACAAAAAGCAACATCCAAATTGATTTTCACTGCCTAACTGAAGTAAGAACCACATCTTCCTCTTGTACCCTCTGTGATTCTCTTAACTCATAAAACTGAGCCATGCCTCGTTCTATATAATCTCAATCTTTTGACCACCTCTTCCCATTGAACTCATAAACAATGTGTTATATGACCGATATTTGAAGTAAGCATGCAATAGTAAAAAAATATAGCATAAAATAATATAAAATAAACTCTTCTAATATTTTCGTTCCCAGTATCCATCAAACATTTGATGTAAGAGAAAAACAGAGGACAAAACACTAGAAGCCAAGGTTCAGAAAGATACTAAGTCAAAACTCAAATCACAAACGGTTCCATCAAATATCATGTATCACATGTATAGAATTTGAGTCAAATGAAGTACTTGATTCTCATGTCTCAACATTACTGGAAGAACAAGCTTTAAGAAAAACAGGTACTTGTGATGGTTTCATGAAATTCTAAATAGATCTCAAGAAAAGCACTATGCTCTCCTATTATATGCTATCACGGGACATGCTACTGTCCAGATATTTGAGAAAATGAGCAAATGCACCTAAGCACAACAATCCCAATTTCTCATGCTACGCATTCTACCCCAAATGAGTTGCAAAATTTGATGGTGTGAAAATTTAGACCAATTAAGACAATGACTCTCCCAGGCAGTCAAACATCCCTTCTGAAAACAACTAATTAAACCTATCTCAACCTGCATGTATTAAGAGGTAAGCATCCAGCTAGCATTATTCTGATTTATCGAGAGTCAGAGGATTACTGCATCTACAGTTATGTCTCAGCTGTCATGTACTTTCCATTGGTGAAGAAATCAATCATAATTATTTCTGATGCTCACCAGAAGTATACACATTTTTTATTATTACTCCCCTTGTTTTCTTGGCAGGTTAATATTGTAAGTCTCTTTGGACTTCTAAAATAATCCCTGTTAATATAAAAAGCTAACCAGCAAATTGCTAGGATGAAACACTGGAAAACTAATTAAGAAAGACAACAAAGTCAAAATGGAATAGAGAAAGTGCGGATTCTATCAGACAGATTAAATACACATACGCACACAAAACCAAAATAAAAAATAAAAAATTAAAGCCGCAGAATGTCACAAACGCCTGAAAAATGCACTCACAATGGGTCCATTCTTCAAAACGTGCTCCTTAGCAAATTTGCATGCTTGTTTCACAGCAAGAGCATCCATACCATCTACCTGTTTCAGTATGTGAATAGTATGACAAACAATAAACCATTGAAAAAAGCAATACATGGAAATATAAACAACAATGCTCCTTCTGTACACACACAATCACAGACACACAAACAAATAATAATAATAAGATAGTCCATTTTCCTTTTTGAATGCTCTGCAGCAATAGATGTGATTGTTGTAGATTTTTCAAACTATCAATTTCCAGTAAATGTGGATATACTAACTAGTGTGAAAAGGGAATAGTAAATGTGGATATAGTAATCAATGTGCTATAATTAGTTGCTAATGACCAGAACAGTACCAATCTATGTGCATGCATATAAATATATATCATCACATATAAATAGATATCATCGTTACAGAGTAATTCAAACTAAAGACAAAAGAATATCAAAACTGCAGCAACAAAATCATTAGAAACTCCATTTAATAAAAAAAACCAATGCAGCTCAGTATCACCTTCAAACCAGGAACATAATCCCCTCTCTTGTAGTATGCCGGACTCTTCGCCGCTCTCCACTCCGCCGTCCCCATTCCATCTGCCACATCAATCCAATTTAACACAATTAATCCCAAATACACACAACATATGTTCAATTTAACACAATGAACCCCCAAAGTCACACAACATATGTTCAATTCAAGTATGAATATTTCAGTCCTTACAATGATTGTTTTCGCAAACCAAGATTGCTGGAAGATCCCAAAGCGCAGCCATATTAAGGGCCTCGAACAACTGACCCTGATTCGCCGCGCCGTCACCGTACATCGTGAAGGTAACATGCTCTTCCTTGGAATACTTCTGAGCAAAGGCCAATCCACAACCCAAAGGGATCTGAGCCCCAACGATCCCATGCCCTCCATAGAACCCACTGTCCTTCTTGTAGAAATGCATCGACCCGCCTTTCCCCCGAGAGCAGCCGTCGCGGCGGCCCATCAGCTCGGAGAAGGCCTCAAAGAGGGTCCCGCCTCGGCCGAGGAAGAGGCAGTGATCGCGATAGGCGGTGATGATGCAGTCCTTCTTGGTGATGGCAGCCTCCATGCCGATGGCGACCGCCTCCTGGCCGTCGTAGAGGTGGCAGAACCCTCGGATCAGCTTGGCCTTGTAGAGCGAGTCCGCAGCGATCTCCATGCGGCGCATCAGCGCCATGTCATGGAAGAAGGTCATGAGCTCTTTCGGGGAGGTCTCGACCGTGCGAGAGGGTGGGTCGCATTTGTGGCTGGTGAAGGGGACACTGGTTTCAACGGTGATGGTGTCGTCGGAAGACGATGAGAATGGACGGCGGAGAGATTGGGTGTAGGATACGGCGGTGGTGAGGGGTTTTAGGAGATTGGAAGAACGGCGTGATAGAGCCATCTCCGCCGTTGGGTGGATCCAATTGTTGCCGGTGTGTTGGTCTGAAAATGGGAAGGGAAGGGTTTGGTGATGGTGATAAAGGGGATACTGAAATTGAATAGTGAATTGAAAATTGGTTTTATGACTGAAAGCGATTGTGTCGTTAACCTATAATTCTTACAAATAAATAAATAAAATAAAGTCAAGAGGTTTAACAAGAAAAAAATACTACGGAGTACTACGTTATTTTTATTAATCATAAGATAAAAATAATTTTGAGATTTATGAATACAAAGACAAAATCAAGGGAATCTTATCTAAATTGTATTCAATAAATATAGCCATAAATCTTTGTAGTCTTCTTCTTTGTTAGATTGAGCTAGAATCTTCTTAATTATAGTGTTTGGTAACATTAAATTTACACTTTGAAATTAAAATTAAAAAATATATGTAGTTTAAAATTTGAAAATTCATCATTTCCAAATCCAAATTATCCAATAAGGGGTTGTCATTTGATTAACTTGAAACCGATCCGATCCAATTCTTGCGAATTTGATTATTTTTTAATCTCAAATCGATTATGGATTAAAAAATAAAGAATTCATAGTCCACAAATCTATTAAAGAATTCATACAATATTTTTATTTTATTTATGCTTTTTTTTATTTTAAGTTTTATGCTTAGTAAGAAATGGATGAGACATAAGACAAGACATTGTGGCTTTCCTTCTTTTTCTTCAAGAAGATAATAAGTTTACAATTTATTATGTTCATTATTAAAGAAGGGAAGACAAAGTTTTAAATTGACCATTATGTCATATAATATCTATAATATTATAATTTAAAATTTGTGTAATTTAGGATAATATTTAATTTAAAACTCAATAATAGTACATTTTTCTTCCGCCCATTTTTTTATAGATGAAAATTTCTAAAGAAGTAAGGATGGCACATCCCTCCTATTATTATTTTTTTTCTTATCTCATCTTTACTAAACAAATGAAGTTTGTTTATTCATTCATATTTTCTTTCCACACATCTTCCTTCGTACCAAACAAAGTATTACTAGCTTTTTAACCTAAAGAATTGTTAACTTTTAAGTTTGTGGGAGTTCTTTACTGTAAGTCAATATTATAAATAAAATGGGTGATATCTAAATACAAGATACAATGGAGCATCAACCAAAAGGTCATCTTCTTCATGCTTTTTTGTCCTTATTTATAATCTCCAACCGTAACCAAAATCCTTCAGCCCCTCGAGACTTTACCTAGGACAGTCATTATGATCCTCCAGGTCTTAATAGGGGTGACTTGGTCATTTTGATTCGAGTATAAATACCATTACATTAAATGCACATCTTTTCGAAGACGGCGATAGTTGTAATTCATCAATACGATGGTCGGTGTTATAGTTGAGGCGCGTAACATTGTTGGAGATGCCAGACTCAAGCCTAAATCGAGTGAAGAGGGACCTACCACATAGCTTGATGGGTTAGATCCCCTACAATTAGTCCCCGTGCGCGTGTGTACTTGCTGAAGGGAATGGAAGCGTGCAGAAGAGATAGAGTCAGGTTGTGAATGAAGACGGCAGATATAACGGTTCATTTAATGGCGTCGTTTCAAGTGCCAAATGTGGGTAATGATTATCTTTCAAGGAGCATCGATTCCTGTCCGGTGTATGGTGTTTAAATGTGAAATTTTTTTTAAGGGTAACTTATTATAATAGAGAGCGTAGTAGATTAGCCTATTAAATTGTATTAGTTAAAAATTCAAAGTGTATTGAGAATTTTGGTGACACCGAAAAAGATGCCCCCTCGTAAAGAACTTTATGAGAAATATGAGCCTCCTCCAGTGGTACCACCGGAATCTGAATGGTACAGAGCTCTCTTTTTTGGGGATAGAGATTTCTTCTGGTATCGGTCGGAACGATATGTAGAAGAAGGTGGCACATCTGCAGCTGCGGCATTGATGGGGCCGAAAACAGAGATTGGTGCAGAACTGCCAGTGTCGGCGAATTCTGTGTTACGGTTTAATATAAAAATGGGGTACATTCCTTTTTCATTCATTGATATTATATCCAATTATAATCCGAGCAATGCTTGGGATGAATGGACGGACCATGTATTGTCATCGCTAGAGAGGGTGCAAAGGTTGCATGATGCTAGGGTTTTAAAAATTGTGCATTTGTTCATGACATTGTCACTGCCTCGAGATCACGATGCAATTGAGTTGTTGACGTCGAGATGGAACACTATCACACATACGTTTGTAACAGCGTAGGGGGAAATGACCACTACGTTGGAAGACGTGTGTCAGCTGTGTGGGCTGTCATTTGAAGGGATGGAAAGCCCTGCCACTCTCGTGTTGAACGAGGAGGAGCAAAGACTGGCCACTAAGTTGCATTAGTCGGTTGAAGAGGCAAAAACCTATGGCTCGAAGTTTGGGAAGGGTGGTGTCGAGTTACCCGAGAGAGGTAAGGGTGGGAAGAAATGTATTTTTGGGTCGTGGACTCGAATGTATTTCAATGATGTGCAAGCTGTGAAGAATGGAATACCCGATGATAAGAAACGTAGACTTCTGGGTAAGTGGTATAGGCACAGTGTTGGGATCGCAGCATATGTCCTATGTTGGCTCGCGAGGTTGATTCGGGAAGGCTTGCCAGAAGATATAGTGCATTTGAGGCTCGTGGAGATAGCAGTGAAGTTATCTTAAGGCATACCATTGCCATTGGCACCGTTGTTTTTAGGTTTACTCTATCATAGGTTAGATATGGTAGGAGTTGACTCGATCCGCTCCGTGGGTTGATACATGATACATACATATGCCTCGAGTATATTTTTGCAATTGTTTCTGTAACGACTCGAATCCGTGAGTCCGAACTGTTAACCGGGTCCTTACAAGAACCTGAGGACACCTAAGTCAATCCACATCAAGTGTAGGTCAACACGTCATCATTGTACCTTAACTAAGCTTCATGAAGGCTTTAAATCATCTTTCGAAGGGTTGGGTTCTAAATGAACCAAGGAATGAGCAAAGATGCACTAACAGCTTAATTTTGATCGGCCGAAATGGCCTCTGAAGTACCTCCTGAACCGGTCGACCGAAATGGGGTTTCGGTCGGCCGAAGTACAAAGTCTCGAGGCTATGAAATGAATCAGTCAATCGAAGTACCCATTTCGGTCGACCAAAATGGCTCTGCGAACCCTGAAATCAGCTACTGAATTTGCTAAAATGAATAAATGAAGAACTATCTTCCTTTCACTTGAAATAAAAAGTTTACATACACAATATATGATCAAAAGAAATGATTTACAGGTGTTAAACTATCATTGTAACAAGTTTACAATTTTTTGAAGCAAAAATAAGGTTTTTTACAAAGGTTCAAAATATACAACTTTGGCAAATGGTGCCTAAACTTTACAAATGGAGCTTTGTTCCTAATTACATATAAAAGGCAATAAACAAAAGTCCCAAATCCCTCTAAGAGCTATGGTGGATTGTCGTCCGCCACTCCTTTTCCTGAACCTAAAAAATGTTAAATAATGGGGTGAGCGAAAAGCTCAGTAGGAGGTACCTAAGGCACACCTCTTGAGACCCCATGAATCCAAACAATGAATAGAAAATACGAAGGCAGGATCATACTATGCCGGGGAGAAAATAATCTATAAAATCACATTTATAAACCGAGTTATGAATAAATATGTCATGCAATGAGATGCATTGTCACTCCCTATTTTCCTTTCCAAAACCCATTTTCAAAAACTTTTCCCAAAACACCACTTCATTCTTTTCAAAACATCATTTTCCCCATTTCTTCCCAATGAAGTGCATGAATGCTTCATGCTAAGACTTATCATTATACAATGAATTCAACTTAAACCACTAGCAAGCTTTACAAGAATTTTCACAAAAATATCACATGCTTTCATTTAATCAATAATCTAGCATGGCAATCACATAAAAACATGAATTCTAGTCCATATAAGTATACTTGAATCATAACTCATCAATTTACACATAATTAAACCTTCCATATACAACATTTAAATAATTTTTTCAATAATCAAAACCAAATAGGCATGCTAGACAACAATCCATACCAAGATAATTCATAAAAATTCAAGAAATTGTGAATTAAACACCCCTACCTCTCAAAGATGCCAAAAGCCTAAATCCAAGCCCTAGGTTCGAAATTCCTAGGGTGCACCAAATGATGAATAGCTTATATCAATGCGTAGATCTCGCCGAGCTCTCCAATTTGACGCAAACGACACCAAAAATCCCCCAACGGTTTGAGATTAATCAGAGATTGAAGGCTTGAGAAAAAGAAAAACAAAAAGGAAATAGAGAGGAGAAGAGAGAGCTGCCGAGAGTGAGAGAGATTCGAGGCCTAAATGGCCTTATGGCCATTAAAATGGGATAGTGGTGAGTTCCACCACTAAAAAATTTCTTTTACTTTACTTTTCTTTTCTTTTTTCACCACACACACATATATGCATATAAACTATACAATTACCACATGAAACACGCTAAATAAAAATAATTGATATGCAAATAGACCTAAATAACACCCTCGTACGCGACAATTCCGGTAGCGGGTCCCGCACGGGACCGTCCGGTCCGAAAAATAGAAATATGCCGAAATGGCAACCGATGCATTTTCCAAAAGTCCCAAACTCAGTAGAATGCCCCAACCAACTCTTGAACACACCCGGCACACCCTACGGTGTCCAGCGCGCAACATGGGAAAAGATGAAAATACCCTCGCAAAATCGAAAAATTCCAGAAAATGGAAAATGGGAAAAATTGGTAACATTACAATCTCCACAACTTCAAAAGATTTCGTCCCCGAAATCAATCCACCTCACAAGAGAAATATGAAAGGATACAAAAACGGAGTACGTCTCCAAGTACCCCACGCAACACGCTATACCTCAAGATCCAAACACGAAGAGTCCCTGTCCCATGTTACTTGCAACTCTGTGCTTGCGATTCGACGCATCCTCGACCGAACAGTGACCACAGTCACACGTAACCTTTCCCCCACAATACTAAGTGAACAAAAAAGGCACCGCAATGCGGATCAAAACTCTCTACCGTCATCTACAAGCACACGAGGCACAAGCCCCAAACCAAACTTCGTAACTCTA